CTTGTTCAGCGTTACGTTCGTGCTACCGCTGGGATGGTAACTAATGGCCCGATGGCTAAGGGCGCTTGTACCTGCGCCTGCCGCTTCAGTGAGGGTAGATGAACCGATACTGGCAAGTGAACATCTAGGTGGTAAGGAGAGTGAAGAGCCCCAGAGGCTCTCTGATCACACAGGTGCCATCTGCAAACTCACCCCCTTCTGCCACTACCCTCCCGCCCCCAAGTAAAGTGCTTTCCAGTGTCGAATTCCTAAAAGACAAAGCTTGTGTTTGAAACTAGGACCCTAAAAATACATGCCTAAATTTAGATTAGCAAATGTGTTTCAACTTGTTTTGTTCTTCGACTTTGAGGACTGTTAAACGTTTGTAGGAGCTTGTGTTGAAATGAGAGGAAGCTGGTCCTCTCTCTGCTTACTCATTACTGTACGTTTATACAACAGCACCTGTGCTGCCAAACAAATGGGAGAGGGAGGTGGAGTATACCCTAGATGCTGTACAAATGTGTATAAGCTGTTTTTTTTTTTTTTTTGTGCGTGAATAAAGGCTCGTCTGTATTAAAACACTTTGCAATACAAGTAAATTTTAAATTATTAAGCCAAACTGGTCTGAGCCGCTGGTAAACTAACCTTAGTATTTCAGTGCTGGCAGTTCATCTTAATAGGATGCAAACTAATTTAAAATTGGCATAACTGGAGCAACAGTGTTTTTCTGGTATGGATCAGATCAGGACTGTGGAAGGATGTAATCCAGTGAAGACAACTAATAAGAAAAGCTAGTATTAATCACAACATATTTTTTAGATCAGGTGATGTGATGTGTTGGAGAGTTGATGAGTACAAATCTTGGTGGTAACCAAGAATGGAGAGCCAAAGTAGTATGCAGGCTAGAATTCATTGGAGAATATGTGTGCTTATGCAAATAATGTGATAATGTAAATCTTACCTATGCAGAAATTGAGGCTAAGATGCTTAACTTTCACAGGGTTGTCTGTGTAGCATTTATGTTGGAGTGAGGTTCTGCTTTAAGTGCTTGATAGAAAGCAGATGACAAGTATGATATGAAGTGTGGTATGAAGTTAGGTGATAAGAAGTAGAGATTAGTTCTGGTTTTCAAAAAGGACTGCTAGTGTGTTTGAAAGTTAGGTATGGTTTAGGTACTTTGAATTGGAATGCAAATGGATAAGAATATTAATATTAAAACACTATTGTTTTATTCATCATTTTCCTGAGATATACTCCTGTTTTTTAAATAGTGAGAGTGGTGTTGGAAAATTGCTTTTGATACCAAAGGGTGTGGTTTGTCCTGAGACAGTGTGTTTCCTTAAATTATTATTACTTCCCCACCAGCCTGTTGTGCTCCTCCTGCACACTGGCAAGAACACGGGAAGCTGAGAAGTCCTTGAGATCTCAGTACCAACTATAAACATCAGTGCACTATCAACATTCTTCTAATAATGAATCTCAAACTAAAACCAAAACAGAAGCTCTTCTAGCTGCTAAAAAGAAACCTGAGTGTCCTAGTTATATCACAGACTTTTTCCATCTCTACTGTGCAGATTCCTGATATGGGAACTTTCTGTTTTCTTGGAAGGTGTTTCATGCTGATTCTCAGGAAAGTTAAGATTATTAACTGTCCTCAGTCAAACAGTTCATTGTGCAGGCAATCACAAGCTGAAAGCTTAAATCATTGTATGTATTTAGGTTGTAATACTTCCAACTGAGTGATTGTTTTGGAGCTTGTAAAAATTTACATGGAGATGTAAAAATTGCATCTAACATGGATTAGCCTCAGTTCTTGTAGGCAGATTTCCTCAAGTCACTCGTATTACTGCTGCCGTGGCATGTATGTGTGTGCCTCCACAGATGTCAGAAGACATGGCTTCACTGCCTTCAGGGGTCAAACTGGCTGTAGCAGTCATTTTTGCTTAGGAAGCAGTAGAGATGTGTTTGTGTGACGAGGTCTGGCTGAAAGGTAACTGACTGAGAAAGTATAGGATATACTCTACTAGAAGCAATAGTGTCATCGGAAGGTTTTGTGCACATGATGTT